CGCTTCTCCTTATACTTCTGCTGAACGTTTCACCACTTGTGATCGTATTATCTCCCCCTTGGGCAGAACAGCATTTTTGTACGTTCAGGAAGTGAAGGCGCGTAAAGTAGAGAAAAACTAAAACGTGTAATGGAAATTGAGATGGTGCGAAAAAATCAATCAATCTTCATCATTTCGATGTGACTCTCAGAATAATCTCAAGAGTCACTTTCGAAGGTGTAACCACGACATTAATCTGGCTGGGATGTGGAGAAAAAAAAGCACAGCTCAGTCAGCATATGAATTTTCGTGAGATACCATCTTTTGATTTGGTATAAAGGAAATTAACCTGTTCTCGCCATTCATTCATAAAACTTTTATTCAATTTCTGAACTTATAGCGCCTTTTTCATGGCGATTGCCGATCTAATCACTGAATGATGATCCGCATTGAAGATGTTTATGCGTTGTGCATTTGCGTGAGGAATTTCCAGGAAATCTCTTTCATTTATTAACATCTCTTATGCAAATAGTGACCTCAAAATGCGCCACGACACCAAAAATGGTTGAATAATTTTGATAATGACACCGTCGAGGTGGGATGATTCGAGGACCACGTCAAAATATTGTAATTTATGGGCACACCCTGACGCGAAGACGCGATGTCATCCAAGAGGCGCACACAAAAATCCCCACGAGCGATTGAAAAGGTGGTTCTGAGGCCGAGTCGAGTTGTGTGTTGAAAATTGGCCGCCAATTTATTCACACAAATTGATTTTCCCGATAGCTCGAGTTGAGGAATAATATTTTCCAACTTACACTTTCTGGCGCCATTTAAGTGGCACTTTTCCTTCCTCACAAGACATTCTGGGCTTATCTCAGCAGGAGATAGTCTTGATAAGTGCGTGCTTGATTGGCTTCTCGAGAGGAGCAATAAAATTTGTACCAGAAACGTGCCAATCATTGCGTTTTCGCTATCATAATCCTTCGCTCATTGAATGGTGTTTGAACTCATTGACAGTTTTTCGGGACGGAAAACCAGTAAAAACCACCTTAAATCTGTACAAATCAAGGGATTCCTCGAAAACTATCAGAAGTCGTTTTTTAATGTCTTATTTTAAAAAATATTTGATGAAATTGAAGGAGAAATATGAGATTTACTGCATATTTTATTCAATTTACTTGCAATTAGTTGAGAAATTCATACGAATAGATATTTTTCCTGTATCTTTTTATTGGTTTTTGCATCCTTAAATCCACCATAAATTTTTTATGATAATAAGTATTGCATATGAAAAAAATCTAAGCGAATAATTCTAAATTATGAACAAAAATCAATGAAATCACAATTTTTAGCCTTAAACTTCCACCTTGACATGATTTATTTGCATTCCTAACTGAAGTTTAGGTCAAGGCAAAAGGAATTCAACTAGGAAAAGATATTAAAAAATAGAATTTTCTTTATTATTCAAATTTTTCTGCTAAATTTGCGAATAATTTTTTGCAAATTATTCAATGGCATTAATTGACCAATTTTCTCTTCCTGTTTATTTGCCATAAAACAAGTTAAAGTCTTAGTTGCCTTCTTCTAATCACTGAAAAGTGCTTCTTTTTGGGGGCGAAGAGGCAAATCTGTCGGAGAAGTGCATGCGAATAGAGACCGAATCTTAACATGTTTGCCAGCAAAAAGATTACAAATGAGACAACAATTGAATGTTGTTTATTTATGCACTTTATTTATTATTGTTTTGTCGGCGCCTTTTCACAATTCCACTGCCACAGAGTTGTGTTTGTGTGGGCTTTTTTCTTCTTTTTCACGGTTTCGCTGTATTTTGTGCAAGCGCCAGGCTGTGTGGAAAAAAACACAATGTTATGTGTGTGGAAATACTCGTGCCAAAACACGTGGTATCAATTTCCATTGAGAGTCTCCCAAATAGATCCAGAGAGAGAGAGAGAGCGAGAGAGTGTGTTAAAATGTGAGGCATTTTCTGCGCGCGCAGAGCGAAACATTGAGATTGTCATTGTGACATGAATTGAGAATAAGAAAATTAATTTCTGTCGTCACCTTCTGACCTGGAACAGCCCTCCAAGTGTCTTAACATGCGCAGCCAGAACGAGAATGTTCTCTTGGCTCGCGCGTCTGCCCAATTTCAGCGTTCGAAGGTGCGTCTCTAAGTTTCTTCACCTTCGTCTCCGCCTTCATCGATTAAGTACACAAGTGACTCTCTTCACCCCCTTTTTCTTCTCATCTCGCCATGAATCACCAAAAATCACGTTTATTTGATTTTACGTCCAATTTTTTCCACCATCGCTGTGACCGTAAAAGGTGGTCGTTTTTTGGTTTTATTATATGCCAGAAGAAATTACCATTCATCTTGAATAATTCATGGGAGATAAAGAAATAAGAACGCTCAGCGAGATGAATTAAAGGGGATTGCACACACTTAAGCAAAACCGTGCGCGCGCAAAGCTTCAATTTCTGCTCGATTAGTTGCTCGCGTATATGGAAATTCGATATCGCCAGACTTTTCCCATTTCCAATGAAGAAAGAGAGTTTAAGTAATTACTTGTAACTCACACAATCTCGCTGATCTTCACCTTGGCATGCTGATTGGGGGGGAAGACTTCAACAACAGGAAATATTATATTTATAACTATTCTCTATCTTCGATCGCCGCCACTTTGAGTAAAATTCCAAGTGCGCAATGATAACTTCAGCGGAGATTTTCTCCCTTTCCGCGCGCGCGCGCACGACAGCCAATAATCACGAAGAGAGTGAAGGTGTGAAATGCCAGCCAATTAATATGCAGATCATCGAGCATGAGGAATTTTCGGGGAAAATTTCCTCGGTGACAAGCGAGACGCTCCGGATCAAAGGCGACAGCGATGATTTTCTCCTTCTGCTCACGACTTTCTGCGGCTTTTCGTCTTCTCGGCGACTCCTTTGTCATGTCACTGGCACCAAAATCGAATAATTAATTATCGATGACACAGAGGTGGCCCGAAAGTGTCCAAAATTAAGCAGCAATCACTCTGTGCGATATGCCTTCATGATTCTCTCTGCATTGGCGGAAGATCAAGCAATTATTTGGTCAGAAATCTGATGCCAAAATATCGAGATTTCGATGTGAAGTTCCTTGGATTCAGTAAAAGCTTGATTTTCTACTGGTAATTAATTTAAAAAATAATTGTTTGTCAAGATTTCTTCCGAAGAAACACCAAAACTTATCAAGAAACCATTCTTTTCCTAAGCGCTACATTCAATTTATTGCTTTTTGGTTTAAAGTTACTGACAAATTAGTTATCAACGATATATTTAAACCAAGTTTTAACACAAATTTAAGGAAAAAATAATCTAAATCGACAGTCAAGGGATTAATTAGTCAATATCACCTTTATTTTTCCTCTGAACTGGTGTTTAAAATGAAAATTACATGCAATTCGTATCGATCAGTGTTGCGATTCATTCTGAACTCCATCACAGCATGTTTTCCCTGCCACAGAATCGTGGCGAATCTGCAACTGAGCGTCACGATAATTGCAAAAAATGCGAGAGGAATGGCTTTAATTCGCGTGATGTCCAATTATCAAATCATAAATATTGAATATTGTGCTAATTCCAGGTGTTATCCATGGAAAGCACAGCCACTTTTGGGCATATATCACGTCAAATTAAGCTCGCGGGCTGACGATTGTTGTTGAATAAAGTCAAATGTGCTGAAAGTGGCGACCAACAACCGGTTAAGGGTCATCCTCGTTGCTTGGAGTCTCATTCTCGATTATTCGCATTACTAATGAGGTCTGCCAGGCTGCGTCATGTGGTCGCTGCACAAAGAAAAACGCGCACACAACATCGAGGAACATTATTGATTGTGCGCCTTGGTGATGTGGACAATTTTTCCGCTCGGGTGTTATCTTGGGTAAGGAGAAGAGGTGCAAGAATTGTGGGCTGAGATGATCAAAAGGGAGAGACTTTTTATCATGCGTGCGCCCGAAAATGCGCGAGATGATGAAGTGGCTGAGCGCGGAGTTTATCTCAATGGCGAAACTGTCAAGAGAGGGGCAGGGAAAAAACATCCATTCAAGTCTAATTTCTGCGAGAGAGTCTCTCTTGGCCATTGTCGGTTGTGTGTTGATGATCATCGCGAGGGAATTGATGGCGCGTGCCACAATTCAAGTCTCAAGCGCGGCACTGTGGCCAATTTGCGGGAGCCTCGCGATCTCTTGCCCATCTCATGAGGAATGGACACAAGAGAAGATGCTCCCCGAAAAATTTCGAGGCACCCGCAAATGACTCAAATTGACGCTGCTCGTCTTGCTTGTGTGTATGAATTCTTGCAGCGCGCGCAGCAAAACATAACTCATCGCCGTGCTGACATCATAAATAAGATTGTTTTCACGGTAATTCTATATCTCACCGCAGCCAGAGAAGCAATGATTCATGCCTTTGCGTGAATACATTGTCACTTCTCCTTCCCCTCCTCGCTAAATTCAATTAAATTGCACCTCAGCAAAGAAACTTGAACACCATTTTTCGGGGCATCTGCGCGATATTGAACGGCGTGAATTTGAATTGTCGCTCCAGCAAATGTGGACATTCATTCGTCTTGACTTTGGGACAGGTCGCTTCCTTACCTTCCGTGACCTCTTGACGCGATTTGTTTGTTTTTCATTTAACGCCAAGACACTCTGCCATTCCATATTCAAATCGACTGTTACCTATTGAACTTGCACGGTCAGCAGCAGCGACACAAGGGGGAGATAGTGTGTGATAAATTTGTACACCGCTTCCTGTCACTTCTAGAATTTCAATGCAGAAATCCAGACATTTTTTGGGCTGTCTTTGCATCTCATTTGAAATATTATCAAAGGGTTCGGAAAGAAAATCGATATTCCCAATAGAATTTGAGGTTTTAATCTTGTGCAGAAACAATTTAGCAGTTAGTTTAGTCAGAAAGTTAAAGCCTTTGACTCTTTCCTCCTTTGGAGAGACACTAAATTCGCTCTCTCGGCTCGTTTCAGGGAAGAAGTGGAGATCACTGACGCCGCAAGATCGTCGGCCATATGTGGAGGAGGCTGAGCGACTGAGAGTCATTCACATGGCTGAGCATCCCAACTACAAATATCGCCCGCGTCGGCGGAAACACACGAAGGCGCGCAGCGGTCCGGCGGGGAGTCAGCAGAGCGCCAATTCGGGATCGAGTGGCGCGGCGCAGACCGCGCACAATGGGGCCGCGGGGGGCGGTGGGAGCGTGGCGGGCTCGGGCGCTGTCAGCGGCGCTGACATCTATGACGGGGACTCGAACAGGATCAGCCCGTACACGGGCAGCCAGTACGGGCTGTACTACAGCAACAGCAATGCTCTGCACACGCCCGAGTCCAGTCCCACGCAGAGTCCGGAGCCGCGCGGCGGCCGGTCCAAGTGCAGCGACATCAAGATCGAGGACGTGTCGTCGCTGCCGACGCCCGAGATGAGTCCGCTGGAGCTGGAGAAGGAGGGCTACGGGGCGGAGAAGAAGGGCCACGGCTACGTGGACTACGGCCAGGGTCAGGTGAAGGGGGACAAGGTGGCGCCATCTGCGTTCGGCGCGTACGAGAACGAGGATCTGGTGAAGCGGGAGTTCATGGGCGGCGCGTACGAGATGGCGGACAAGTCCAAGTACGAGTTCACGCCGCCGGACAAGAAGTACCAATACGAGTCGGTGGCCAATGCGGGCGTGCTGGAGAAGAGGTCCAGCTCGTATTTGGGCGCCACCAGTGCCTCCGCGACGACAATCGTGGCCGGGAAGGGGATGTACGTGACGTGCACGAATCGCGGTCTGCTGGATCAGGGACACGTGGTGAGAGGAACCTACTACCCACCGCTGGCGACATCGCAGGATCACCAGAACTTGGGAACGCCGACAGCAACGACCTCCACGGCGGTGCTGAACTATGCCAATCACGTGGCCGGGCAGTCGAAGGCGCAGAACCATCAGAACCACAACGGACACAACGGACTCACGCCGGGCGCCATTGATGCGTACTACCAGACGTCGGCGCTGCCAGCGTCGTACTCCTACTCGGCGGCGTACAAGGAGTACTACCAGTCGCACGCCCTGCTGCCGCCGCTGCTGCAGGAGGACCCGGATGGACGGAAGGAGTTCGACAAGTACCTGCCGTCCATCGACAGCAACCACAACAGCTACAGCGACTATGACTCGTACCACCATGGCAGCCCGACCTCCTTCCCACCGGCATCGGCGGCGCCCATGGCGGCCTCCGCGGCCGCGCCGCAGCTCCACATCCACCAAGACTACTACCAGCATCAGCAATTCCACGGCACAGCGCACCAGACGCCGGCCACGGTCGCCGGGACGCCGGGAACGCCGACCGGCACGGTGGCCAAGGTGGACGCGATGATCGGAGGCAGTCTTCCGCCTGGATACACCACGCTGGTGAACGTTGGCGCTCCTGGGGAGCAAATGCCGATCACTGATGACTTTAGCAACATTCTCGCCGGAGTCCGCAAGACTTGCTACAGCAACTGACCTTCACAGGGAGCGCCGGAAGTGATAAAGTAAGTGCGAGAGGAAGATTTGGGGGAGGCTTTCAAGAAGAACACAGTGTTCTGGGCGGAGCATAAGAATGGGCGGGGCTTAAGGAGATTTCCGTAATATCATTTGCCGTTGCATTTCTTAAGGGAAACACTGTGATTCTGTTTTTCTGAAATTATACTTTTCTCCAGTATTTTTCTAATCAAACACTTTATCATTCTGACCTCTGATCAATTTATTTTGAAGGTCAAATATGAGAAATTATATAGTGAAACTTGCCAACTTTTGACGAAATAGTAGAGAATATTTTGAAAAATTATATATACTTTCCTTCTTAGTTAGTCCTAAATACTCACGACCCTGATCTAAGAGATCCAAATCCACTACAATGAGTTTTGCTTTAGAACCTTTAATGGCGTTATTTCTTCTGGGAACAGCAAATGTTGTTTCTCGCAAAGTTTGTAAATACAAGATATATAAACTCTTTACTCAGCAGGCAAAGTGCAAATTATAACGTTGAAAGACAAGATGTGAAGAAAAAAAAAGAACAAAATTGAAATTAATGATCAATTGAAGTGCTTCCAAGTGTATTAAATTTTTTTTCTTTTATTAATCTTTTATTAGGCATTATTCTGAAGTCGTACGTCAAGTGCACTTGTTGAAAGAAGCAAATGTAAGAATGTTTTAAGCTTTTTTATATATATATTAATTCCTCTATTGGAATTTTTGTATTTATATTTATTAACTTTTAAATGTGCTGTAAATTTACACTTTTCTGTAAATATGTTTTTATATCACGTATATAGGCGAAACATTGAGAAAATATTTAATAAGTAAATGAATGGTTAAATACAGTAAGGACACTTATTAGATAAAAAGGATAAAAATATGCCTTCTTTGAATACTGAATAGAAACCAAAGGTTTTTCCAACTCTTCACCCAGTAAAATCTGCAATTTTCCAACATTCTCTAGGACGATAATGTTTATTTTTTCAATTTATTTGTATTTTGTGTAATGTAGCATCAATTTTTATACAGTTTTATTAGATGACAAGAAAACAAGAGCATTTTTTTTTGATTATGTTTTAAATAATTGTAAGACAAGTTTGAAGGATGACGAGCAAAGGTGAAGTAAAATTTGACTATGAATGTGTTTTTTCTTTGTGGAAAATGTGTTTTTTTTCCACAACACTTGATTTATATTTTAGTTTCTATTGTAGGTTCTTTGTTAACACTGATGCAAAGGGCAAATTTATAACTAGAATGTAGAGAGAAATCAGAAATTTGAGGAAAGAAAGTTTAGTAATTGATGTAAAAATAAATTGAAATAATTTGAGTACAATAAAATGATTTTTCAATCAAACATAAAAATGATGTTTGTGTTTTTTCTTCCTCCCCCTTCAATTCACCTTTCTTCAATGATTTGTCTTCTGAATTCCAGCGAAGACAACAAATTGATGGCAGAGATTTTACAACAGTCGAGAGACAAGATGATTACGAAAAAACGCGATGGAAAAATTGAGTCGATTTCATTGCGGCAATTTGTAAATCATTCCTAAAAGAGGGTATTTTCCCATTCAATTAATAATTTACCATCACAAGTGTTGCAGTGCGATCGCCACTGAAAGAAGTGCTATGAATATTCATGGCATGAATTGCATGAATAAACTCCCTTCTGGATTGCAATTACTACACTTTTTCTCTGGAAAATATCAGAGAAGAAAATGCTGACGGAATTGAAATGTCGGGTGATTTTTGTTCTGGTTCAAAAGACTTCTCTTTTGGGAGTTAAAATTGACCCTCAAAGCAGAGCATCAGCTGAGAAATTACACTTCTTTTTCTATCCGAAGTGGAAAGAGAGGCACGACAAATTGCTCAATGGCCAGATTGTGGGTGTTTTCGAGACGCCTAATGGGTTCCCCTTTAGTGCATGGAGAATCATTTGCAAGTCGCTGGAAGAGCTGCCAAGGTAAGAGTTGAAGAGAATGAAGAAACAAACTTAGAAGAGTTTGATTTAAAATCCCGAGACTGTTAATTTCTTCACCGGAAACACGATAGCATCTCACAAAACTCTCGGTCAAAATGTGAATAAATAAAATGCTTTTATTTTCGTATTATAGAGTCCGAAAAAAAAACAGGGAGAAAGAGAGACGAAAAACTCGCGCACAAATGATGTCAAGTCGCCAGAAAAATTACCTTTAATTCCGCTATATTTGGTAATAACTTTCCTTCCACGCGGCGCTCATGAAAATTCAAAGGCTTTTCAAGTCAATCTCACGTGATGTTTGCGATTCTTCTGCATTTTTATTGGCACTTGAGAGTGTTTTAAGCTGAATTGTTAATCTTCAAGTGCAATTATTCATCCGATTAGCTCTCCAAGAACGCATAGTTTGATTATGTATTTTTCACATTGACAGACTTAAGTCAATAATTTGCATTTAATGGATTAAACAGTTAAATAAAATCATGAAAATATGTCTTGAAACTTCAGAATTCCTTGTTAAAAAGTTCCTTGACTAATTTTCCAATTAAAAGTAGCGTTTTGAGATCATTTGTTACACTGATTTTCCTCTTGAAAGGCTTTAAAAAGGATATTTTAAAAAATCTTTCATAACTTTTTCTGAAGTTATGATCAAGAAAAGATCTCAAATAGTAATTTGTCTTGAAATTCAAGTCAATAACTATATAAAAACAGAATATTTGTTCCATTTCTTACTGGATTTATTGATAAACAAGTAGAAATTTTCTTTTAAATCATCTCTTGATTCAAAGTGTATGAAAAAACATTTGAATTTTCACAGCCAAAGTGTGTGAAATGTTAAAGATTTTACTCATAAACACACTCAAATTTCATTGAATCTAAGAAACTGATCGAAATCACCGAAAGATGTTATGCAAGAGATTTGAACTTCGTGGCAAAGCGACAATAATTCTGCATTGATTCCTGAACTGATCATAATTCGCTGGTAAATATGCACGCAAAAGCACGGCAATGTGAGCGACAGATTGAGAATTAATTCAGATTGATTGAAGAAATGTGATAAATCAGATCGAGCGGCGCCTTTGTGAGTCACTTTTTGCTTGTGAACGTGAATTCAGATTAATTAGACGCCCATTTTGGCTTTTTATCAGCCTCAGATGCGGAGGTGTTGCGACACATGTGAGCAATTTGCTCTGTGCGCAATGAAATTTGGCGGGTTTTTCGGGAAGCACAGGTAGCAAAACTCACGCTGTCTCGGGAGTCATGCGCGGCTCTTCCTCCGATGGTAATTGTAATAATTGCTGGCGAGTCATAGATCACGATTTGAGGAAATGGCGACGACAAACTGAGCCCGGCAGAGTGCTGCACGTTGTTTGCTGAATTGATTTCAATGCAAATTTCCAATCACTTGTTCTGCAGCACGAATTTCCAGATTAAGATTTCACTCTCCTGCGCGCGCGGCGGCGGCTTATCATGCGGCGGGAATCTGGCCAAGGGATTTTCTCATGGGATTTCCCTCCGTGTCAATGCCATAAATCACCGTATTGATGCATTTCGAGGTGTGAAATCCGACAATTATTGGCCACGAGGGGCTCGCCACCACCTCTGGAGGTGAAAGAGTCTCGTGTGCGCCTCCGCCCGCCGCGGGGTGAGGCGCACAAATGGCCCATAACTCATTGGGGCGCGTTTCTGTGCACCTCCGAATGGCGCGGCGTCTGCACACACATGCGAAATTATTAATTCCGAAACACACAATCTGCGCGCGGTATTTAAATTTCAAATTTTATTATTACTTATTTATTTATGCCGCTTGAGATTTGAGGAATCGATAGGCGGCGGCGGTCCGATAAATCGCCTTATGATATCGCGGCATTTGACTCTTGCATCAACTCCCTCTTCGCCTTCCCCAAGGGGGAGATATCGCGGTGGGAAGCGCTGCAATGCACCCAGTGAAAGCATCCGGATGTCGATGTTGAGTATTTTCACAATATTAGCCTTTCTAGAGGTACTTTTGACATAAATTAACGCCGTGTTATGAGATGTTTTACATTGCTTTCTAATTGCTTTTCTAGGTTATGTAACTCAGCTTAGAACAGACTAAATAACATCAATACTTGCGCTTGAATTGGAATATTTACACACCTTAGCAAAATTATACGTTTCCAATAAATTTAGATAATAAAAACTGGTGCAAAATTAAACAGAACCTCAAAAATATGTGTCAGAATTTGAAAAATTTCGTTTTTGAGAGTTTTTTGTTTCCTATAAAGAAATCATTAAATTGTGGAAATGGCGGAAATCGTGTACAGATTTCAGCTGTTTTATCTCCCCCTTGGGTCTCCCCAATATAAACAATATTCGCGAGTGCAGCGCGCCAAGAAAATGCCCACAAGACTCTCTCTGTGCCCGAATGGTCATTCCCTTCTGCCGATATGCTCTTATTGGTAGCACACGGGGAACATTTTATGAATTTGCAATGCTCTACAGCGAATTCTACACGATTTCGCAGTGTCTCTGAGCTCTTTTTCATACCTTCTCTCTCTCCATGTGAAAGATTCTCGCGCGCGCTTTCTTGCCCCGCGCGATAAACTGTTTATTCGCGGCGGATCTTCCTCAATCGTGCATTCTTTTTTTCGGCAATTCAAATATCAAAACATGCACTTAGTTGCAAAAGCCCTTTAGGATGTGGATTTGCAGTGGGGCGTGTCTTATCAACATTTATCAAAATAAATGTCCATGAGAGACCTCCCAAATCCGCCCCCACGCGATATAAACATCAAATGAATATATCTTCTCCACTGCGCACACACCTTTCGAACTTTCGGCCAGGCCAGGCTCTCCTTACCCGCAATTTCATCATCCCAGCATTTGGTGAACTATTGCGCTCCTCTAATGCCAACCAGTTGAATGAATTGGACTTGACTGAATCAAGGAGGGAGATAATAAACCTTAAATATGTAAAACACTTCCAAAATATGAAATTTTTAGGCTTTTTTCAGACTAATTCTCACATTATAAGAAATTTCTTAAGCTTCCATCTGATATTTCTATTAGAATCGACATTGATATGCAATCTTTTCGACTAGAGCATAAGAATTGTTGTGCTAGAATGTGGATTATTCACTTAATATTGAGTTTTTCATCAATTCTGACTGTATTATCGCCCCCTTGGATTGAGTTTTCGTTGGAAAATGATTGCAAAAGTGTTGCACTTTGGAAGACCTGACAACGTTTCATCTCCTAAAAGTCTCAGAAACACTTCATCCCTTGAGAAATTGGATAAATCTGTCCAACTTTAACGGTTCTTGACTCTGCGCATTTCTTACGTCAAGTGCATATCAATGTCCATGTAATTATGGCAAGATTTATGATGTTGCATGATTTTTATCATCTCATTAGAAGTCTATTACAATTGATAATAATTGTCGTAATCAGTTTTGCTCCCTTTTTTTTATAATTCCTCACGATATTTTTACGCTTTTCCGCCACTTCACCAGTCATCATCACGCGGTGTTATTTGCAAATTGCTACACTTTATATTCCTTCCAATGGAGAGTTTCCCTCTTCTAGATACCCACATTTTTTCATATGTGTTTTGTGCGCGCTCTTCACATAGCGGAGGTAAATAATGTGGGCAGACAACTCTTGTACATCAAATTCCCACGAAACTGTGTAATTATGACTTTTTATTATTAAGAATAACATGCGGAAAGTTGAATTACAATTTTAGATGCTCATGAGCAATTTGATGGCACACCAGCTGTTGAACCTCAATCTCAATCTTCTGTCTTGTGTAAGTTGCAGTGCGTCCAGAAGAAAACTTACAAGTTGAGGAGACAGCGCACTGATTTTATGGGATTTTAATGAGATGTGGCTTGTGTTGGGGGAAAATTTGAGGGAAATCCGAGGACATGATGATGATCCAGAGACTCTCAATTGTGTAAATTCAATTATGCTAAAGAGTTTGCGGACGCAACAAACCAACAATTTCGCCTGTGTTATGCAATGAAGTGCAAATAAATTGTGATTTTGTAGACAGACAAAGTCATCATCGTGCAAAATGTGCTCCACTTCTGCATTAATGATCTTCACTTAGCGGGTTTTGTATTAATTTTTTCTTCTCGTGTGTGCGGAAAGGCTTTTTGGGAGGTTGAAGATGAAAATTTATTTAATTAGAGTCACCTCAACTATATCTTAAAAATATACACACACGAAACTGTGCAGAGAGCGAGAGAGAAAGAGAGACTCAAATTGGGAGTTCAACATGATGATGAATAAGTGAAATAAGGCAAGAAAAGAACTGCCGTGATTCCACTGTATCAAGTCATTTAATGTGATTATACACATAAATTTATATC